TTTATATAGTCTGCGACCTTTAATTGCTTAGAAATGATTTAAGATTTAAGCCAGTCTAGTCCGCGCAAAGCCGGACAACATCCGCCAGTACTTATATACAATATATGCATGCATGTGTGTATGGGTGTGGATGTGAGTGTGTGTGTGTGAGGCCAACAAATATGCGGGCAGCAGACAGTTTTCTAGTTGATTTTTTGCAATCTGCAGTTTTCTGTTGCTTTGTATGAAACGTCGGAAATGTTGCTACAAGACCCAAACCCCAAATCAAATGCTCAAATGCTAAACCCAATCTCAGTTCCAGCTCCAGTTCCAGCTTCAGTTCCCAGTTCCCAGTTCCCAGTTCAGTCGTCGTCTGTCTGGAGCTGAAGCTGCACCCGAGACTCAAACCAAGCGCCAACCAACCAGCTACACTTGACTGCAGCAGCAGGAGCAGCAGGAGCAGCAGCAGCAGGAGGAGTAACGGAGGCCGCGGCAGGAGTTGGGGTCTGTGCCTCTGCCGTTGGCTCTGTCTCCACCTCAGCCTCTGGCTGCTGTCTGGACACGTCGTCTCCTGCCTTGTGTGCGCCTGTGTGTGTGTCTGTGTGTGTGTCCTTCAGCTGAGCAACACCTCGCGACGCATTCGTGGCATGTGGCATGTGGCAGCAACCACCACCGCGTTTAATCAGCGACAGCAGCCGCAGCAGCAGCCGCCGCTTCTTCTTGACCATCCGCAGTTATTGTTGTCGCTGTTGACGTTGCGACGTCGCGTCGCTGCCAGCGTCGCTGCTGTTGTTTAGTTTTCTTTGTCCCTACGTACATATTTTTGGCTGTTTTTGGTGGCTCGAGCATTTCAATATTTGCACACCCACACACACACATACAGAGAGAGAGTAACCACCACCCACCAATGCTTAGCGGTTGCCATTATTTCCTCTGCTGTGTCTGCTCTCACTTGCCACCAGCTAGCACCACCTGCTTCGGCTCTTAGCTCCAACTCCTGCTCCTGCTCCAGCTCCAACTCCATTTACTTCTATCATATATCATATTCAGGCGCAACACCTTGCTGCCCTTGCCACGCCTCCGCCCCGCTCGATTTACTTTTGCTTCCAAGCACTTTTTTATGCATTTTCCATTATTTTCGTATTTCAATTTTCAATTTACCAATTTGTAGTGTTTTTTGTTGTTGTTTGCTCTTGGCAATTTATTAAGCGCTTTTCCCTTTTCCAAATGCAGAGCGGTTCACGCTTTAAACTTAAATTGAGACACTTTCGTGCAACATGTGGCATGCTGCCTGCCAGCCTGAGTCTGAGTGTCCCTTGGGTGCGTATGTGCCCAAACACTTAACAAATCTTCAAGCAATAAACGCCGCACACACACGCAGAGGGACAGGGATGGAGATGGTGAGGAAGAGAGAGAGAGAGAGAGAGAGAGAGATGTAGAGGGAGCAGAGCAACTGCAGCAGGGGCTGAGCTTGGCGCCTTGATGCATGCTGCAATAAACATGCAGCAAGTGGCAAGACGTCGCACAGCACAAATCTGCATGTGCAACACACACACACACAGCCACACACGCACAAGGACTCGGCAAGGACTCGGCCTGCTCCTTTGCAGCAGACAACAAATTTGTAAGCCAACACACAGCCAATTAACCAAGAAGAAGAAGCTGCAGCCAGTCCTTGGCCACTGACCACTGGCCTTGCAGCACGCTTGACTTGTGCGTGTGTGTGTGGCATGTGGCATGCGGCATGTGGCCAGTGCTGTAGCAGTTGGAATCATTTTTCAAAAGGCCAAGCCAATGGACACTTGACTGAGCATTTGCTTAGCTTCCACTTGGCATCTGCCTCACTCTCTTGCCAACTTGCTAGCTCCCTCTCACTGCTGCTGCTGCTGTTCTGCTGTGTCTCTGTCTCTTTGTGGCAATTGTGGTACAATTGTGTGTCAAGGTCGCCTGCTGCTCCAGCTCCTGCTCCTGCTGTTGTTGCTGCCGCTTCCTGCTCCAAGACGATGCGAACAATAAGTTCCTCAGCTCCACCCCGCTCCGCTTGCTCGCTCGCTCTCTTTCGCTCGCTCTGGACTTAACAGTATTGTTTGTGTGTGTATTGTGTAGCAGCCTCTGCCTGTGTGTGTGTGTGTGTGTGTGTGTGTGTGAGCTGCTGTCTGGTCTGGCACTTTGCCGTCGACATTCTTGGGGAATACCTTTTAGCACAACTCAGACTTGTCTGACTGCCTAGACACTCCCTCAGTCTCTCTCTGTGTGTGTGTGTGTGTGTGTGTGTGTGCTACTTATGGCTGCTCTGCTGTTGTTATTGTTGTCGTTGTTGCTGCTGCTGGCTTTGTTCACATTTATTTTTCCACCTCCTTCGTCTCCGCCTTCTGTTGCTGCTGCTGCTTCAGCTCCTTCGCCTTCACTCAGCTCTGCCTCAATTTTTGCTCTCGAAAATTGTGTGAAAATTGTTTTTCTTGTTGTCTTGCAGTTGTTGTTGTTGTTCTTGTTGTCGTTGTTGTTGCTGCTGTTGTTGCCGCTTGTTGAGTGGCCTTTTGGCTTTTTGTTTAAGATTCTGTGGTTTGTGCATTTGTAAATAATCTTGTTTTACAACGCATCAAGTCTCGTAGACCAACAGCCGGACGATTCCGGTCAGCAAGCTGAGGCAAAGGGGCGTGTGGGAGTGTGAGTGTGTGTGTGTGGTTGGGCGTGGCAGCCAACCGGACGGCTACATAATTTATGTGTGAAAAGTCTCTCTTACTCTTTCTCCATGTGTGTCTGAGTATGTGTTTGTGTTTATTTGATTTTGGCTTAAGAATTTCCAGCTAAGGATAGGATATATGTGTGTGTGTGTGTGTGTGTGTGTGTGTGTGCGAGTGTGTGGCAACTTGAGTCAATTATGTTGCAAATATATCAGGTTAGCAAATTAAATGCTCTTTGCCTGCCACACAAACGTGATTGGCTTTAAATAAACACTTTAATTGCTCGATTTTTGGAAGTGCGAAGCTGAAAGGAGTTGAGTTCAGCTAGAAGGAGTCGGCAGGACTTGCTTAAATAGTTTGCAGGTGATTATGTAATGATTATTCAACTAATTAAATAGCTGGCTAAGTCTTCAATGATTGCAAATTGATGAAATGTCAAAAATTAAATTGACAAGTTAAGAATAGAATTAGGAGAGCAATAAATGACAAATTTATGAAGTGAAACTAAAGTAATATAGTATAGAATAATATAAAAGAAAGGCTATACTGGACTAAAATAGAGATTATATAGCAAATATTATAGAGTGATAGATAAATGGTTTTAAAAAACAAATGTAGTTTTAAAAAAAATTTTCTTAATTTTTTTATTTTCCTTCTTTTGTCTTCTATCTCTCCTTTTAAAGATTAATGAATCATGTAAATATGCCAAAGAAAATTATCTAATAGGTATAGCTCATCCAAATCGTTTACTAATAAAATACAAATTTGGTAGTTAGTAATGCCCATATAGATCAATATGATACGATTTTACAGATGAATTGTAAAGAAATCTTAGATAATAGCAGAACATTTTTCTAAGTTACTAATATTTTTTTTTATTTAAGAAAATTCTTTAGAGCTGAATTACAAGCAGCACCAGTAACGTCTTATGACCTGAGATCGGCTTGAGTTTGGAATTAAATTTTTAATGCTAGAATTGATAATCTGATTTATCAGTTTTCCCAAGAATAAATTTATTGAAACATAGATGGCGCTAGTGCGCTGTTCCACACATACTGAAGGTTGTTGTCTTTGCTAAATCTTTAGCTTGTGTTTCCTTTATCACGTACACAAACCACTACAGGCAAGCACATGCGTTTCACATGCATTTAAGTTCGGTTGAGCAATCGTTACATAATATATTCATATATATAAATATACATATATTTTTAATATATTTATTTTTAAATTAAACTAGTATTTATTCAACACTTTGGGCAATTTATTACTTTTATTATTTGTTTAACACTTTAGGCAATAGCTGATATCTGTTACATGTCTGTAATTGAATCATGAAATGTGCGTTCCCAGTTATCTTAACTGGGATGTAATCTCGGCCTTGAGTAAACATGTCTAGACAAATGTTTATATGTTTATATATATTTGTTTTAACGAGTAAACAGATGTTTGCTTATCAGCGAGATTCCAATAAATAAAATATACATATATCAATAATTCCCTCCATCCTATGAGCAATGCGTTAGCACGAACCGCTGAGCAACTCATGCACGACTTTCGAAGCGATTCCAAAGTACAAAACGAAATGAAACGGGCATTACGTAGTTTCCAAGCAGAGTTATTTAGACTGATATATGTACAAGTTGAATGATAACAACTTATCAATAACTATGGGTAGAGTGTGAGATAAGCTGACGACAGAGAGAGGGCCCAGTCAGAGCCAGAGCCAGAGCCGGAGGCCTCGACTGCCTCAAAGATACTCGATAAGCATTAAGTAATAAAAATTTATAGACATATATATATAAATGCAAAATATATATATAGACATATATAT